TAGCGCAGTCCAGTCCCATGCACGGGGCAATCCGTGTGAACTTACTAACGTATATATATAATTTGAATAATGAAACCACAAATACATCATGTGATGAAACTGTTGTGAACATGAACATGTACTTACTTTAATCAGCATGATGTCATTACCCAGTCCAACGTGTTGATAATTTTCATGGATGATTTTGTTTTCAATCTTTATTTTTTGATGATTGCCGTTCTTGAGATTGTGGTTGCCGAGAACCACGTATGTGAGGCTCCTGAAAGAGTAATCAAAGAGAGGTAATCAATACAATGTGTTTTAATGACATGCGTCAGAGAAGCAGAAGCAGAAGATGTTTGATTACTCACGAGTCATCACAGTGTGCAGCCGAGACTACAAAGTCTTCAGTGATGAGAAATCCTCCACAAACATGGTGACCGTTGTAGTCCTGCACAGAGGCCATGTACTGCATCGAGTTCTCTGGGGCTTTTTTACCATCTATGATGTGACTTCCATGTGCTGAAAAAAGTAAAAAAGTAAAATAAAGGAAACCAAAATGAAGTTAACGTTCCATTAAACGATCAGAGGACAATAACAAAGATTTGCAGATCTTACCGAGTCGTCCGACACATGCCAGAACATGGAGGAGCAGGATTTTTTGCAGACTGAGCATGATGCCAGCAAAAAGGTGAAGTTGTGTTGGCAGGACTGTGAAATGGAGGTTTTATACAGCAGTTGCTCTGTCAAGTCTGATGATCACATTTTGACTTCTAACCACATCCTGTTTTTTTGGGCACTTGTATTATCTTTACATTATCTTGTTCATCAGTATTACACTACCCCATCATCCTGAAACACATGGGCTGCATGCCTAAACCTTCAAAAAGCTGGGTTGTTGAAACATTTTGCAACACTGTAAAAATTCAAAGTTAAAACAACAATATCCCACCGGGTTACTGATTTCATACTTGAACCAAGACTAATAACATTATGGTACTTGGCTCATAATCTGTCCACCAGCAATGTAAAAACAGGAAGGAGATGCCTTTTCATTTAGCGCCTCCTTGGGGCCATTTCTTCAACTGTGTGAACTGTTTATGGAGCGAGGGTTGCAGGATTTGTCCTGTAGGAGGGCACTACGACTCTTCTGTAGGAGGCATTATTATGGAGCATGGTCTCTTGAAGGAAGAATATGTGAATAGTGCTGTGGCGGTAAAGAGAGTGTCAGAAAGA